ACTCTTATTTTCAACAACACAATTTTCTATAAAATAATATTACATATAAATCGAAAACTTTTTCTTCTTTTCAACCACTCATTTAAAAAAAAAAAAACACCATTCCATCCATTTTCATTTCTCCAAAATGGGGGCCAAATCGGGCTTAATTCTTTTATTAACTGGTATCCTCATAATCTATGCTTTTTTAGACTTGTTATTATTCTTATATTTTTTTATTATATTAATTCGATAGCTTTACCACATCTTGAGATTTGAAAAGCCCGAATAGTTATGTCGTGTTTTCTCATTTCATTTTTAAAGTGAAAGACTTTTCCTTTTTCAAGAGGTACATTAAAAAAATCAATTAAAAAGAATTGAAAAAAACGTTATCTTTAAAAAATTAAAGAATATTTCTCGTTTTCTTTTCTATTAACAAATGTCAAGCTTGACTTGGGAAAAGTTAGACACATGGACCAGTGAATATCGAATCCAAGATTGTGAAAAATATAAACAATAATATCATTACGATCAAAGCATCTTTAGAAACGTTTAAAAAGTTTTATTTTTTAAGCAAGTTTTTTAGGTATTTATAATTTGACTGTAAACTAAGAGTCATTTTTAATAAATATTATTATTCGTATAGTTAAAATATATTATATTCAAATATGTTATTTGTAGTTACGGATTTCATCCACTGTCATTTAATAAAATTTTAATAGTGACAACAAACTTTAATTTGTCTTATTCGGATAATTGAACTTTAATTTAGTTTCTAATTTTACCACTTCGTTACATTCTATCATTAAACATTCCAAAGTTGATAGAAATTGCTTAAATGACAGTTATATCATAAACGATATTTCACAAAATCAAACTTGAACCCCTTGAAATGAAATGGAAAAACGAGAGTTGTGACATTGTCTTTAAATTAAAAGAATAAAATGTATTTTAGTTTTTTATTTAGTTCAGCGCATTATAAATGGACGCCAATTAAAAAATGTTTTTGCTAAGTACACCACATTTATTTTACAAATAAAACCCCACTCTAATTAAAAAGAAAGAAACAAAAGAAAATATATGTACACTATACTTATCTTCTTCTCTAATAATACCCTTGAATCTCTTACTCACCCACACCGGCGGTGGCAACCAAAACTCCTCTTTGTCATGGTACTATGAACCTTGATCATTGAAGTTAGAAACCCCAAAACGCTGTATTGCCTTTCTACCATAGGGATATGAGCGAGCTTCAAATGCTTTTTGCAATTGTTCTTCCCTAAATATGTTGAATCCCAACCTTGAGAGTTCTCACCGTCCCGTCTCTAGAGTTTTGTGAGGGAGGTAAATTGCGGGATGTGCCCCAACAGGTTAGGGATCAAGAGTTGCCTGTACATTGCGCCTACAAATAGTCCAATTCCATATTTCAGAAATCCAATCCTCACATTGCAGTTGCCAACAAAGCGTGAGATAACCTCACTCCTATCTTTTGCACCACTAGGTTATGCCCCGAGGGGCAATTGTTCTTCCTTTTTACGATATGCAGAGGAGAATGCAGGCCACACTTTGTATTGCATTGGATAATACGTCTTTTCCCCAACATTACAGATTTACAGTGTATTTTGATTTGTAGCCCCATTTACAATGGAGATCTTCTAGGCGATTGCATATAAATAAAAAAATTATGGAGATTTACAATATTGAAAATTTTCACGTGCCTGAATTATCGATGATTCCTTCACAACATGAAATGATTCCTTCACAACATGAACATCACTTCACAGAATCTAAATTATGTTCAGAATTCAAGCCCTTGAAAATACCAGCAAAATCAATAATGGTTTTGGTGGAACAATTGAAAAATGTTCTACGTGAAAAAAGGATTTAAAAGAATGGTTATTTATGTATAACTTATGGTCAGGTTAGTCAATAAAAAAATTCTTGAAAATGTGGTGCACAAAATAAATAGTGTGGTGGTAATATAATTAGCCAATTATAAATTGGTACATCATGCAATGAAAGGTAATAGATTTATTGTGATATGATAGTCAATTAAACAATTTTAAACGATAATATCCACAAATTTTAGCATTATAATTGTGAAATTATTTATATCAGTGTCATATCTTCTAGCATCGTGTTTTAAATGGCAATATCTTAAATTCATTATTGTTTATGATAATTTTTTTATTTTATAATTTATGACAAAATTATTTTTAATCATTGGAAATTTTTATTTTTTCTTCATAAGGAATTTTTAGATATATCAATTTTATTTTGGGATCAACTTTAGGATGTGTTTGAGCCCCTTTTTTGAGAATGTATTCTGTGATAGTGATTTTTTTGGACAATATATCGTTAAAAAAGTAAGAAAAAGTTTTGAGTTTACGTGTAAAAGTATATTATTGAGAGAATGTGATTGAAAATGAGATTGAAGAAAAATAAATTTTTGAAAACTGGGAAAGCGATTAAATTTGGCAAAACATGATATCTTTCCTTAGGATTGAATCGCTTAATCTGGCTCGAGACTTTCTCCCAAAAATATAAAAATCCACTATGAAACTCAATTATTTCATCTATATATGATAACATTAACAACCACTCTCGACTCCACTAAAAACTTTGGCAGGTACAAGCATTTCCACTTCAGTGAACGTTACTAATGGCAGAACACGGTTCCATGGAGATTTTGGCAAAAACTCCAGCCCATGACGAAGAAGAATCAAAACGCTTCGCACATGCAATGCAGCTTGTGACTTCTTCAGTGCTACCCATGGTGTTGAATGCAGCCATGGAACTGAATTTATTCGAAATTCTTGCCAAAGCTGGTCCTGATTCACAAATGTCTCCTCACGAGGTTGCGTCACATATGCCCACTACAAACTCCGATGCACCTGCCATGCTCGATCGGATGCTTCGGCTCCTCGTAAGCTACTCAGTGCTTACTTGCTCCGTCAGTGATGGCCAACGACGATATGGGCTGGCACCAGTTGCCAAATACTTTGTGAAGAATGAAGATGGGGTATCACTTTGCCCTTTCATGGCCTTGATTCAGGATAAGATCTTCATTGACAGCTGGTTAGTCTATTTTTATCCATACTTTACTCCAAGTAATTGAGCAGAATTAATTGAAAGATTCATGTTTGTTGGGAATTATCAAGAATTATGTATGCGTTGAACGATACCACTAGTTAATAGCACGCGAGATATATGACAAAATAAATGGAGAATTTATTAATATAACAGAGAAAGAATTCAAAGAATATTGTGTATACAATACTATTTAGCTTGTGTAATGTGTCTGACTTGTAAAGAAGAGCCAACTATATATAGGAGACGTATCAAAATTTTAACAATATTCTTAAAGATGGAAATATTACAACATCAACTTATGTGAGTTAGCCCCATAATAGGTACAAATTAAAAGATGCGGTTCTTGAAGGAGGTGTTCCATTTGATAAGGTTCATGGTACTCATGCATTTGAATATCCTGGAAAGGAACCTAGGTTCAATCAAGTTTTCAACAAGGCAATGACAAATCATACAAGTATAGTTATTAAACAAATTCTTGAGCACTACAAAGGCTTCGACCACCTGAAAACTTTGGTCGATGTAGGTGGGGGTCTTGGGGTCACCCTCAACATGATCACGATGAGATATCCCACCATTTGTGGTATCAATTTCGATTTGCCACATGTTGTACGAGAGGCACCATTCTATCCTGGTATGATTTTGTTCTTTCGATCTCGTTTACTAATTAGCAAAAGCTTAGTAATTCTCAAAATTGAAGTTAAATTTTGAATGCAGGTGTCAAACATGTGGGAGGAGACATGTTTGAAAGTGTTCCTGTAGGAGATGCCATTTTCATGAAAGTAAGATGAAAATTTCCACATTGATAATTTAATTTGTATTAGTGGAAGATGCAATGATATTAATATTGTTTATGTATGCATAATGGCGTTTGTGGACCCCTACCCGACACTATTCAAGCCACTTCAGGTTATGTATCCGTATGTGGTGTCATTTTTTATATATACTTTTAAATCTTTTGACAGATTAAAAACCAGGGGTTGTTCAAGAAACACAGTCTATGCTTGGCCTTCCTTCTTCAAGAACTAATTTTTAGTCTCAAACAGGGGGCTTAGAGACACCACTCGAACAAGTGTAAAATATGTCATGTATTGTCTCCTATATTAAAAGGTATAAAACAAACATATATTACATAAATCTAAATGTTTAAAGGATTTAAATCAACGTGTCCTCAGTGTATCCGACTTCATCGGCCACATAATGCTGCAGATTGTTTATCAATCTTGAAGATATTGCCCCTCTTTGATAGAGATCAAAATCTGATTTTTACTGGAATTTGATAAAAGTTGATGAAACGTGTGGTTGAAAAGTTATGGATCCTGTAAAATGTGTGGTTAAAATTAATTGTCGTTTGGTTTAGATTTTAATCGAATTTTTTAGCAATAACAAACAGGGCATTGTATTTAGGTAACTATTTTTTGACAGTGGATACTACATGATTGGAGTGATGATCACTGCTTGAAATTGCTTAAGAATTGCCACAAGGCTCTACCTGAAGATGGAAAGGTAATTGTTGTTGAGGTAATTCTTCCCGTGAAACCCGATACTAGTAGTTCTGTGATTAGCTCAAGCCAATGTGATCTAATTATGCTGACTCAAAATCCGGGGGGCAAAGAACGATCAGAAGTCGAGCTTCTTGCCTTAGCGAGGGGAGCGGGATTTACAGGCATAAGATTGTACTGTTCTGTATGCAACTTTTGGGTCATGGAATTCCATAAGTAGATTTCTGGATTGTGGTGTGTTTCTTGTTTGGGAACTTCAGTTCATCTTGTTATGATGCTCAAAACTACTGTCCAGATATGGATTTAAATAAATATGCTTCGAGTTTTTTATCATAAAACATGAACTCTTTTCGACTGAATCTGGCTGTACTCTCCGTTTTAGACTGCTTTTTTGTCTGAAGAGTGATCAGAATAAATATACCAAAGCAAATACGGAATAGTTTCCTGCTAATAAGAACGTTACTGTCACCTAACTGCTTCTAGTCCAAAGAGATAGGTGAAATGAAAGCGAGTACAGCTATAAAACTATAATGAAAACCGAAATGAAATTAAAAACATAAGATTTTTCATTGTTTACAAATTAAGTTAACAAAAGGAAGCACGGTTATGGTGATGTGCAATACTACTGTGTATCTTTCCTTATTCGAGCTGCAGGATTTTCCCGCAATTTTCCTTCAGCTGGTTCCGATAATTTCTTTGTATGTGTCCTTAATTTTCTGTATCAAGATTTCCCTGAAATCCATAAGAGCAAGCTCTACATTTCAGCTTCAATTTAGAACTACACTGAATTACTTTGGGGTTTCATATAAGAGAAAAAAGATTACCTCTCTGTTTTGGAAACCAGGTTCTTGTATGCAAACCACTGTTAACAAGTACAAAGAATACAAAAGATCCGTAAGTCGAACTCTTCAGTTCTGCTGAAAAATTCTACTAAAAATTCTACTAAACTTGTAAGAATTTTTATATATATTTTTGGGTATACTTCCATCCTTCTTCTGTTTTTGTTGTCAGTTCTCAAATTATGCTGAAGAGGTAAAACGGATAAATTTATAAGACTGAGTATGACTAAACATTATTTGAAGTTACCAGTAAGCAAGGAACAAATTCATTTAAAAAAAATGTGAGAGAGTTGTAAAAGCTGTACAAGAAAATTAACTTACACCAGTATATCCTATTCCCACTAGCTCTAGAACACCGGGTACCAGTGGGAGCCTGTCAATTGCCTGTCACAAGGGAAACCAAAATTTTAAGACCTTACTTGTGCAAAATCAGGACATATCTGACGTCCTCATATGAAAGTTTAGGTGTGCGAAATTGGCATTGATTTCACACCTAAGAGCTTGTTTGGTACAACTTAATGGCCAATTAAAATCAATTATTTAATTGTTATTTCACTATTTCGGCCGTCATTTTTGAATTCTTCTCATACAGATGGGACCCACTTTATCTCTAACGGTCAAAAAATCAATTATCAAAATCCCTACCAAACAAGCACTAAATGTTGATTCGAGAACGTCAGCGCCACACTGAAATTAGGAGATGGTTACAGTTCTTACTGAGATCATTCCAGAAGTAGCCAACACTGCAATGCCTCCAGCCACTGCCAGAGAAGTCACAGCATACTTGTCTTCAACTTTATCCCACTGCATTAATTAAGAATTTACACCGTCTTCACTTCACGCAATCAAGTAGTAAAGAGGAGAGATTAATCATGAGACGACTAAAAACCAAATTCTTACAGATTCTTGAATTGTTTTAACAATGTCTGGAAGCTCAGTGGTTGCAACAACTTCTGCTGGTGCCTCACCAGTTGCCATTGCCATGACATTCCGGGCAATCTTTCGACCTGACAGGTAAATAATGGTCAATTACTTTGACGCATTTATAACAAATCTGATTATTCTGTGTAGCAATCTTACAGTAGGCAGTGGTCTTGGCAGCACGACTTTGGGACTGAATGGACAGTGGAGGGAGGGTCGGCAATGCTACCATTTGTGAGGAGGTGGCTGCAGATTGGCGAGTAGCCGCCTTGGTATCAATGATGGTGGAAGAAGAAGTTATAGAAAGTGGGGTGGAAGTTGTTGAGGCCATGACTACTGAACCACCCCTTGAGGTTTAGTTGAATTTGTTTTCACAGAATAAATGTTAATAAGAATGGAAGATTTTCAGTGTTACTTCTGTTCCCTTTTTGTTGTTGCCAGTGGAAAATTAATGTGATATATTCTGAATGGAATTTAATTCTGAACCTCCCAAGATTGAGGCTGGATAACCACTCATTCATATAATCTGGATAGTGTACATGGTGACATGTCACTTGGATAGCCAATTTGTGGTGTTTCATTGGATAAAATGCACCAGGTCCAAAAATAATACTAATCATACAGAAAATAGAGAAAAATGAACACATACTTTCCCGAGTTCTGCATTGCCTCAATAAACACCAATTTCACGCAATAGAAATACGATGAACAATTTTTGCATTCCAGAAGGAGGATACAATAATCTCAAATAGATTGAGGTATACCTCTATATAAATCTTGCGTGTTCTAACTGTTTATTTTCTTCCCTTAAATTGATTGCTCTCGGTGGGATATAATTAGGGTTAGTAATTTTCAACACTCACCACCAACATATGTGATGGATTGTCAACAGGCTCTTCTATGACTGTTAAAGATGTTGGGAATCAGAAATAGGAAGTGCTTCACATACCATTAGTGAGACAAATAACTGGAACAAGATAATAGATTGTGGAAAGTGTCATGGAGCAACCTTCTATATTGCAATTGAGCATTTGATTAAATTATGAATCCCATTGTTATTCCAAATATAATGCACACCCAACATAGTTTGGTAAAAGAATTACATGTGAATAAGATTACGTTTCTTACAGTACAATGAGCTTAGATATACTATTTGTCTTATTCTTCCAACAAAAGCTAAAATACCTGAAAAAGATCACATATGTCAAGACAATGGACCACTGTCCCGGCACTCTTTAATTAAACTTATCTGTTTATGTTCAAAGAAACAAAACATAACCAAAGTCTGGCTGAAAATCGTTTCTTTCGCGCTGAAGTATCATCCAATAAATAAATATTAACATTGTCTCCGAAAGAAGTTATCTAAGTATTGGAAGTGGCTAGAATAACAATTGTACTCAGGTCAAGATTATGAGGATAGAGGAGCTATTTTATTCAAAATGGTGAATCTTTCAGATCTTGAATAACAAGGCTACGGATCGATACAAGCTAAATTCAGTGAACACTGAAATTGAAAAAAAATAAAAAATGAATACATTCCACGCGAGATTTTGCAAAATTATACAGATGATCAGGACATCAGGTAATACTGTACTTCAGATGTGAAGAAAAATGTATATAAGAACGAGAGAAGTAATATGAGATGCTCACCAGGGTCATGGAGCTCGTCCGGATCAGCCACAGAGTGTCCTCTGAACCTGTAGGTCTCACATTCGACCAAAGCTGGACCTTACCTTAACACATCCATACCAATACCATCAACATGAACCCTAGGCATTCCAAACGCTGGACCATTTTTCCAAATTTGGGGATCAGAAGTGGCCCTCAAATGGGACATCCCAATTGCCCACAAATTGTTCTCAACAAAGAACACGATGAGAAGCGTCCACAATGCAGCCATGTTCAAGCACTTGAGGAACTGGCCAATGTAGCAAGTTCCATCTGCAAAAAAAAAAAATAATAAAATAAAATAAAATTAAAAAAAAAAATTCCAACATAACATCATCTGAGATTTGATACCAAATTGTTGAGTTTAAAGCCCAAAAGAAAATGATTTATTGATATAAAATCGCTTACACAATTTAAGACAAACACACCACTAATAATACTTAAGGGAGCACTAATTATTCTCACTTATCTCTACACACTCTCTCATCACTCATGCATCCATAATGTACATAGCCACCTTGTATTTCTAGGTGTTAATGGCGGTGGTGGACGGTTCTAGTATGATGGTGGTGAAGTTACAATCCTAATTCTAGATACATCTATAAATGGTGGTGATAGTAATTGGATTCTTCTAGAATCTTCTAGGCATGAATGCATTCTAGATTTTTCCATTGCGTTATTGACGAAAGTCACTTGCTACTCCTTGATTCTTTTAGCTGTAGCAGTGGAGAGGAAAAGATTTAAAGGCTTCCAGCAACTTCTAATTCTGCTTAAAATTTTGATGATGATTTCTTCAATTCCCTCTTCAACACCGACTTTTCATTTTGACTTTTTTCTTTTTCGTCATGTTCAGCTTTGCTTCAAGCTTGATAAGTTTTGAAGCCATCAGTCCTTCACTTAATGCATCCGTTGCTTCAAATATATCTAGCTCTTCCAGGCTTTCATCTTTATCGATTTTCATATTAGGATAATTGATACTTGATTTCTCATATTTATTCAACTTCTTTAGTTGTGATTGTAAATTTGTACATACCTGGACCTCTTGTTCACTTTGTCGATCCTTCACTATTATTTCCTGATCTACACCATTTTGTTTAGGACTCTGGATTGCTCTTATAATTTTTTTTTTTTAACATTTGATACCTGTAGATCTTTAGATCCCTCATCGTTTGGTTGTACTTATGTGATCTCCTCTTGCAATTTGTCTTTCATTTCCTTTGAATCTAGTAGATTCATCCTATTCGGCGTCTGAAACACTCTACAGTGTCTCCAAAGAATATACTTCTTCAAACATTTTTTATGAGTCTGGTAGTTTCTCCATCTACGGAGTCCACCAAGAAGACTTTTCATAAACCGTGATGTCCTCTGAGTCATCGATCCAATTATCTTCACTATCCATTTGCTCTGGCAAGACTATCACCAATGCTGATTCGTTCTTTATATTTGAATTGATTTTCTTCTCTTCAACCTACTCAATTATTATTCTGGATGCCTCAGTATCCTATTCTTCTTCACTATTTTATTTCTTTTCTTGCTGGAGGTTTCTATATTACCTTTTGCTGGTCTTTTTCTTGAATCGATAGTCCTTGGCATATTGATTTCATTTTCTACATACAAAGCACGTGTCGTTAGTTCGTTGATGTCCTTGAACTCTCTTGTTGCAATTTTGTTGAGCTTCCCTTATCTACTAGCTTCATTCAATCTGTCCTCTAGATTTACCTTCTTTTAACTCTTTATTATTTTGTTGATGAACTTGACATTTTCTTTTATTGCTGAATAATGCTTTTTTTTCCTTCAGATTCCTAACATTTGTCTAGTTAACGCTTTTTTATTGGCCAGCAAATTCTCAAGATTGATATTGCAGTAATGAAACCTCTAAATTTGGGTCCAAACCATATATAATTATTCTTCGCATTTTGGACTCCAAAATCTTACTTGAAGAATCTAATTTTGAATTTTCGAGACAAAGAGATTTAACTTTGTTGAAATATTGACTCACTGTCTGATTTTTAAAAGATTTTATTTGCACAAAAGTTAAAAATGACTTAATCTAAATAGTTAAATAAGATTTAAGTTTTGGTATTATCTACATTATATAATTATGATCTTGAGACTCCTTTTTTTTTTTTTTTACTAACTTCAAAGCATGTATGAAGTTTCTATAAATCTATTAATTATGATTTGTCTAGTTGAAAATTAAAAATATGAAAAATATTCTAATTTTTGCATTTTGAAAATTCGGAAATTGTATAATTGACTAATGACAGGAGTTATTAAGTAAATACTGTATTTTATAATTTTAGATGTTTAATATGTATTATTTTAATTATTAAATAATTTTTAAAATGATTAAAAATTTAAAACAACATCATAAATAAGAAAACATTTTTTTATGCCTAGGCTTGCTTAAACTCGTAAAGTTTGAAGCTTCAGCTCCACACCTAATCACGCTTTACGTAACACTGTTTAAAATAATGTCTCAATGAATCTCTCTGAGTTTCCCAAGCGCTATAGGTTGTGTCATTCAACTGTAGATCGCCAAAATTGTTCTCCCCCACCATTTGTAGTGGCCTTGTTTGCTACCTGTCAGATACAGACTCAGAAATGTTTAGTGATCAATAGGGAAAGGAGAAAAAAATTTCTATAATACTATACTAATTTGGTGGTTTTGTTAAAGAAAAGTGCTTTGGATTTTACTGCACAAGTGCATAATTCTACTGCACAAGGATACACTTAACGAACAATCATCATCAATAATGCTACTGTGATAGGTTTATAAACAGGGTAAATCTAGAATTTTAAAAATGCTGACATGGCATGTTGACTGCCTTTTCATTTCAATACAATAACGTTGTTTGTAGTTTGGAGAGAATAAAGAATCAACGGGAAAAAAAGGAACAACAACTCATATACAACAAAAAAAATAGCAGCTTCTTTCTCCACTTTTGCAACTGACCAAAAAGCATCCCCAAATGAATTCGGCGATGTGTACCCACCATCTCGAACTTTAGGGGTTATTTCGACCAGTTTGGGAAATTCCGACAAATGTATGTAAGACATCACCCACTTTAGTGCAAGCTGATTTATGCCCTATTTTTTAGCATGTTTGATATATCATACTCACCCGTGGATTGAGAAGCTACTCACTTTAGTGCAAGCTAAGAATCTTCATTAGTAATCGAAAGAGGGGGCTCAGGGGTTGATCGTTAGCCGACAAAAACTACGACAACATTGGCTTCAACGACGAGTGAATTCAGAAGGTTAAGTTTCACCTTTTTGCTTAAATTTCAGGATTTTTGCAATTAATTGCATCTGGTAGCTTAAATTTCATGATAGAATTTTTGTAATTAATTGCACCGGAATAGATCTCCTTTTAACTAGAAACAACTCACTCATTCATTAACACACTTTAAATTAATTATATTAAACATTCTTATCTTCAAAATTTGTAATAAGAAAAATTATAAGCATGTATTAATGAGTAGATCTTTAGGTGCTTTTTATTTTTTATTTTTATATCCAAATGTTTTCAGAAATTTCTTATAGCACCAAGGTTTTTTAAAATAGAATGTTCTCCTGTCCTTTCACCCACAGCTGTAATTAATTGCATAATTTTGTTTTCCAAATTAATTGCATAATTTTATTATTTTTGTAATTCAAGTCACTGTTATCAATTTATTCATTTTTACGACTTGTGCCCACAGTAGTGTTTTGGGAGAAAAAACCCCAAATGGTCACTGAACTTTGCCCAAAGTCTCCAAAGAGGTCATCGAACTTCAAAATATTCCTAAGTAGTCACTGAA